CATTACTTTTTCCATAAGTCCTCTGTCTCGGTGACTGTTCAGGGTCAATGATATTCAATAAATGAAGCAATTTTTCAATTGTCTTTATTCAGGAGCTGAAACAAAGTCCATTGAAAGAATTTGATTGGCTTGGGGTTTTTTTTAATCAGATCCTCAGCACAGAAGTGCATGTTTTGGACACTGCATGAAGTCTAAACCATGGCTTGAATGACTGAGATAATGGAAATTAGAAGAAGACATTTAACCATCAGTGGAGTAAGCTTCTTTAAGTTTTCCAAATGGAGTACTGTGAAAAAGAAACTACCTGGCTTTCAGGTGAAGCTTGAAAAGTTTATGAATGGAATTATGCTATGTGTTCACTTGTAACAATCGAAGCCTGGATTCAGTGACCCCAGTGATCTCTTCCATCCCTATGTAATCAATAATAACCCCTTAGGATGGAACTGTTTGTGCAAACACAGCACTAGGTGTTACCTCATGGTCTGCCCATCATTTGTTAAAATGGGGAAAGAAACCACATCAAGAAAGATAAACAGATCTAGAAGCAAACTAGACAGATTTTGTCCCTGCTGCTTGGGGTGTTTCTCTAAGATAAAGATTTTGCTGGAGAGAGGAAAATTCTCCAGAACAGGGGAAGAAGAATCTATTAGTAGAATATCCACAGACATTCAGATATTATGACTGCAGAATTGTTTGATTAGAGTGAATAAGGCAATTGATTTTCTCTAAGTAAACACATGCTAGAAAGCAACATAGACCATCAGAATGGGAATCAGTTGACCCAGTGTCAGGAAAGATGCTGAAATATAAATGAACAAGACAGGAAAATAATATCTTAGTAGCCTAGTTTTAGCATAACATGAGATAAAAGTGTATGAATTCCACCCTCACTCCGAAGCTAAAAGCAGGCATGAGAAACTGTGTATATCATAAAATGTATGTGGATATCATAAAAAGGGGTGGGAGTGTTTTGGACCACTCCTGGGCAATCCCAGCAGTTGAAGGAACTTTTGATAAACCAGTCTTGAAGTGGCCTCAATATTCCCGAGGGCCAAGATGCTGTCAGAAAATAAGTGTTTGACAGCAGCTGACAAAAAGCCCCAAACGTTCAGTATATTGTTTGGATATTAATTTCATCACAGATTTTCCCACAAGGGCACTGACTGGACATTGCCACCTGAAGCCTGAATGCCTTGCAGTACCTTGTAGAATTATGGTATTTTTAAAGACCATACACCAAAAATGTTCAGTATGTGTGTCTGCTATTAAAGAACTAAATTTCCTACTTGGCATCTGAATCCAGTTATGATGGAGTGGGGCCACAGGGGGGCACTGTCTTTGATTCCTTTCTGTCTTTTCTCCCATCAAACTAGTCAACAAAATGGTAACATAAATCAACAGAGAATATGGAAAAACTGGAAATGCCAGGTGTCCAGAATCTGGGTAGTTGGGTGGTTATTATGCCTGTGCAAAGTGGCCAGTATTTGATTTGGATTCCGCTGATTTGGGGGACAGTGACATGATTTGGATCACTGTCCTGAATCAATTTGGCTAAATCCGATTCAAAAGATTTGGCGCTGATTCGGTGTGATTCGGTGATTCGACCATAAGCTGTAATGGGGAATCACTGAAATACCTATAGCTTTGTCATTTTTTTGCAGAATTGGATGAAAACAGCAGTATTGGTAGCCCCTTCTAAGAGCATAAAGCCTGCTAAGTTTCAAAGTGATAAGTGCAGGCGTTTCTGTGAAAGATCACCTCAAACTATGGAAAGCAAAACTCATGTCTTGTGTATGTTAAGGCAGAGTGGAATGAAAACAGCACATGAAGCCTGCCAAGTTTCACGGAGATGGTGCAGAAGATTCTGGGAATTGCACCTCAAGGTTCTGAAAGCAAAACTCGTATCACTTGCATGTGTTAAGGCAGAGAGGGATGAATGCAGCAGGGATGGTAGCCCCTTCTGAGGGTGTGAAGCCTGCCAGGTTTCAAGGAGATAGGTGCAGGGGCTTCTGTGAAAGTGCAGCTCAAACTGCTGAAAGCAAAACTCATGTTACTTGTGTGTATTAACTGGGTTTCTGTTTGTAGCCGTGTTGGTCTAAGGTTCTTTGAGTAGATGTGATATCTTTTATTAGGCCAACTGAATAGTTGGAGAAATATATCTTGGCAAGCTTTTGGGTTTAATAACCCTTCGTCAGGCTGAGGAAGCATCTGCAGTTTCTGTGTGTGCTCTTCCTGCATGGAATGAATAGTACAGAAGCCAGAGGCTGGCATGCAATGCAGGCAAGAAAGCCAGTCAATTAAAATGTAAATTGAAGCACCAGGGGGTGAGAGAAAGGCAGGGGGGCGGAGCAGGGGGATGTAGCAGGTAAAAGTGAAGAGGTACCTGGGGAGTCAGATGTCAGGCAGATTATAGTGCGTCATAAATCCTATGTCTATATTGAGGACATGAGTTTTTGTATCTAGATCACTTCACACACAGCCTTATATGTTGTTTCTACACCCCTCCCCCAGAGCACTGTGATTGGAAGGGAACTCAGGGAAAGATCACAGTCACTGGCCAGCTACAGATATCAATATCTTCCCCCTTTTCCCCCTCCCTCTTCTCAGTTTCTGTTTGCTGCAACCCTGCCTTCCGAATCTCTGAATCTTTTCTGAATCAATTTGGAGGCTTTGACTTGATTCAGACCTGTTAACGGGTCTCTTGATTCTATTCGGATTCAGAGATTCAGGCAACAAAAATGATGAGGGGACTGAAGGACATGACTTACAAGGAGAGGCTGAGGGAACTGGGTTTATTTAGTTTGGAGAAGAGAAGACTGAGAGGGGATTTAATAGCAGCATTTAACTACCTGAGGAGAAGTTTGAAAGAGGATGGAGCTGGACTGTTCTCAGTGGTGGCAGATGATAGAACAAGGGGTAACGGTCTCAAGTTTCAGCAAGAGAAGTTTAGGTTAGATATTAGGAAGAGTTTTCTCACCAGGAGGGTAGTAAAACACTGGAACAGGTTACCCAGAGAGGTTCTGGATTCTCCATCCTTGGAGTTTTCAAAACCTGGCTAGACAAAGCTTTGACTGGGATGATCTAGTTGGGGATGGTCCTGTGTTGAGCAGGGGGTTGGACTAGATGACCTCCTGAGGTTCCTTCCAACCCTCATTTCTATGATTCTGTGATTCTATAATTCAGTGGTGCTGCTGGAAGCATAAGCAGAGGCAGGCAGGCAGGGGTGCAGGGTACAGTCCAATAGGGAGGCAGAGTAGCATTGTGCACATGGCAAGTGGGCGGGCATGCACCATTGCTGCTGTGCAGGAGCAAGGCAGGTGGACTGGAGCAGGTGCCACCCTCCTCACAAGTGCCCACACTGCCTATCTCTTCCTGAGCAGTAGCTAGAAGCAGGGGATGAACTGGCCTGGGCACTACCTGTCCTGGCTGGGGTGGGGATCGGGTGCGGCAGGATGGGGGGAGAATGCTGCTGTAAGCGTGGGGGGGGGGGGGGTTTGGCATCTCCCTGACCCCGGCACCCTTTGTGGTCACCCATGTCGCCCACCCTTAAGACCAGTTCCAAAAGTCATTGTTGTCTTCATGTTTCCGGCATGTACCCAAGCTATTCCTTCCTGTCCTGAAATGAGATTGGACCTCTCAGACCTAATACATGAGTAAAATAATGGGCTTTACATTTAAAAGGAAGTATTTAAAGCCCTTGTTGTAATTAATTAAACACAATAAGATACTGAAGACAAAGCCACTTAAATCTGAATGTGATGTTTTCCAGGCGCATCAGAGGGAAAGCATTGGAGAACTGATTTCTCTATTCTTGCAGTGCTGCATCAGTAAATACATAAAGCTCATAAATGTTATAAGTTAGATTCTGCTCTCAGAGTTACTGATCTCCTTCCAAATAACTGCTCAGAGGATACTATTTTAACTGAGAATAGAATTTGATCCTGGATAGTATCTGAAGGATTAACACAATCACATTCCCCAGTAAAACAATGTGCACAGTTAATGCCATGACATAGGAGTTTTAGGTCAGCCCTTAGGTTTGTCACCTTTTATTATCTATCCTGTGACCACTTTATCAGGTTGAGCTGGATTTAAGGTTTGATTTCTCTCAAGTGTGTTACCAGTGAGATAAAATATTTAGTGTCACAGTTCATTTCATGCCTTATTTGCCAAACAGCCTTATAGTTTTTAGTCAACATTCATAGGGCAACTCCACGTTTTGCATGGTACAGTGCTCCAGCGTGGCACTTATTTATGACCACGTTGCTTTTTATATTCAGATTGGTTAGGTTTTATATTTACTTTAGAATCTTGGGACGTGCATTTATTTGATATTTATTTTAAAGAGTGAGTAAATTTGACATGGGCAGGGATTAGTAGGCAATCTGCTAACCAAAATCCCTCAAGATAACATGATAAAGAGATTTCTTGAAGGTAAAGTAGGCAACCATCAATCCTCTGGATCATGATGTATGTGTAAGAGGTCTAGTCAGATGCCTGATGAATCTTCTTGTAAAGAGTCCTGTGACCATCACACCAAGATCTTTGATGCATATGTCTAGGCAAGAGTATGGAGGAGTGGAGGCTGCCCAAGACCTCCCATCCCCACTTTAGACCATTGAGACAGAATCCAAAGGTCAGACGGAGTCCAGACATTCGGTGCCTCGATGGTTGTAGCTTCTTCCAGACAGCAGCAGAAAAGAAATGCTGCTGACTGCCTAATGCCTCAGTGAGGGTGTATTTCTGTCAGGGTGATGTCCATTAGCCTTCCTTCAATCAAGGAGTACCCACAAGTGTGTACTTCAAGACACTGCCTTTTGGGCACTGTCTTGAAGGCAAGTTTTATTTTAAAAGCCAGCTATTGCAAAGAATAATGACTGTGGGACCTATTTAAAGGATAGCATCTGAGAATTGTATTTGTTTATGTCTTATTCTTCCCTTTAAAAGTTCAGTTCTTTATGCAGATCAAGATGGTCCAGTAATACAGTCTTCTCTTTTAGGTGACACTTGCACAATGGCAGGCTACAATCGGCTTAAAAGCATTCTCTTGGACCTTCAAGCTCATCGCCAGAGCAAACTGGGCAACCCTGTAGAGGATAAAACATCCCAGAAGCGCTTCTTAGTTGAAGATATGTTTAAGTACTTGGATATAAACAGTGATGGACACCTCAGCAGCTCTGAACTGGCTCAGGTGGGTTTATTGTTCAATGAAAATTGAATTATGAAGTGGATTGCATTTTCCATTCAAAGTGTAAATTGAATATAACACAGCAGAATTCTTGTGAGAATACTTGTTTGTAACTGTCTTTCTAACATTAGGTGAAGGAAAGAAAATCTAGTGCAGCATATAAGTCTTTTCCCCCATCTCCCTTGGGAGAAAGAGGTGTTGTCTCAAGCAATTTAGGATATTTTGCAAACAAAAAATATGGCACTTTTCCATATCTCTTGCCATCCTTTCCAAAAATAAACCCCTCACTATTTACAATCATTCTTTGAAATCCTTCCAACACCTGAGAAATATAAAATTAATTTGGATTTCACAATGTATTTAAGTTACAAA